CCTCTGGAGCAGCAGCAGATGACGCCGCAGCAAACAGCAATTCTGCAGCAGCAGCTGCCAATGGGGGTGGCGCAGCAGCAGCACCTGCAACCAGCACCTCAGCATCCGCAGCAGCAGCAGCAGCAGCACATGCAGCCGCCGCAGATGCAGCAGCAGCATCGGCATCCGCAGCAGCAGCAGCCGCACATACAGCCGCAGCAGATGCGGCAGCAGCAGCTGCATCCCCAGCAGCAGCATATGCAGCCGCAGCGTCAGCATCCGCAGCAGCAGCACCTGCAGCAGCACCAGCAGCAGCAAGAGCAGCTGCTGCACTCTACCCCCATGGGGGCCCCGTCGTTTCCCCCCGCTCCAGTGGATATTCAGCAGCAGCAGCTGCAGCACATGCAGATGCAGCAGCAGCAGCAGCAGCAGCAGCAGCTCCAGCAGCAGCACATGCTACAACAGCAGCGTCTTCCGTTCACCAGCCCACCGATGCAGCAGACTGTGCAGCAGCCAGTGCTGCAGCAGCAGCAGCAGCAGCAGCAGCACCGCATGGTGCCACCGCAGCAGCACGTGCTGCAGCAGCAGCCGTTTCAGCTGTCGCAAGAGGACTTGCATCAGCCACACATGCAGCAGCAGCAGCACCTGCTGCCGCAGCACCGCCAGCACCAGCAGCACCCGATAGAACAGCAGCAGCAGCAGCAGCAGCAGCAGCAGCAGCAGCAGCAGCAAGACAGCGAAGCCCCCAGACCCCCACTTGCCTTTGATTACTCGCAGCAGCTGGGTGCAGCGCGGCCTCCGTCCCCGACGCTGGGCGCAGCAAGTACACCCGAGCAGCAGCAGCAGCAGCAGATGCACCAGCAGCAGCAGCAGATGCAGCAGCAGATGCAGCAGCAACAACAGCAGCTGCTTATGCAGCAGCAGCTGCAGCAACATCAACAAATGCAACAGCAGCAGTCCGCGTGGTTGCAGCAGCAGCAGCAGCAGCAGCACTTTCAGGCCCCACTGCCCTCTCAGGCTGTAGCATCGCTGCAGCCGCAGCTGCAGCAGCGGCGGGGGATGGTGCCGCTGCAGCAGCTGCAGCAGCAGCAGCAGCAGCAGCACGTGCGACAGCAGCAGCTGATGGTGCAAGGACATCAGCAGCCGCCGCCGCAGCAGCAGCAGCAGTCCCCTGCTCCTGGACATCTGCAGCAGCAGCAGCGACAGCAGCATCACCAGCAGCAGCAGCAGCAGCAACAGCAGCAGCAGCAGCAATCGGCTGCATTTCGACAGCAGCCGAAGCTGCTGCAGTCGCCGCACCCCTCTGCGCCGCGCGCAGCAGCAGCAAAAACAGCAGCAGCAGCAAGCAGCCCAGGAGACACACCAGGAGCACAGGCAGCATCAACACCAGCAGCAGCAGCAGCAGCAGCAGCAGCAGCAGCAGGATCAGCAGCAGCAGCCTCAGGCCGGAAAGCGTCTTCTGGAGCTTCAGCAGCAGGCACACCTACACCCGCAGCAGCAGCAGCAGCAGCAGCAGCAGCAGCAGCAGCAGACTGGGACGAGCAAGACAGCGACGGAGAAGATGATGAATGTGTGAACGATACAACTGCTGTTGCTGTTGGCTGCATCGGAGCTCTAGCAGCAAACCCTCAGCTGCTGCCGCTGCTGCGGCCCCACCTGCCGCTGCTTACAGAGGTGAGCCTTTCTGCTGCTGCTGCTTCCGCTGCTTCTGCTGCTTTGTTGCTGCTGATGGATTGTGCTGCTGTTGCTAGTTGCATGGTTGTTGCGAGTGTTGCTGCTGCGGTGCTGCTGCTGCTGCTGCTGCTGCTGCTATTACCGGTAATGCTGCTGCTGCTCCTGCGGTAGTGACACGTTGCCGCATGGTGTATTTGCTGTTTTAGAGTCTGCTTCATCTGCTGCTGCTTCTGCTGCTGCTGCTGCTGTCGTTGCTGCTACTGCTGTTCGTGTTGCTGCTGCTGCTTGTGCTGCAGCTGGCGTGGCTGCGAACGCCTTTCAGCGGCACACTGTGGGCTGT